CACCAAGTCCAAGTCCTATACTAATACAATGCAAGATCTGGTATCATGCAAAACTTTTTATATGCCACATCCAGTTTACCTGGTACTTCATATCCCTCCTCGTACTCAGACGGTGGGCGGGGCATGAGATCCTCCAGGACTTCAGTGTCTATCACTGGCATCTGATTATACATCTGTTAACAGAACAATTTAACATGTCCTCAAAACAAATAGGAATACAGTGTATATGGATCACAGGAATACAGTTTATAGTAGCTGTCATTATATTCCTTATGGTTTAGAGTATTATCTTTGTCTCACAATTTCCAGGATACAAAATATGTACATATAACTCCAGCTCCCTACTACTTCTAGTATCTCCTGGTAGCTGTACTGTGGTGTTAAGCTACTCACATCTCTGATTTCCCTCTCAGTATTAGTTTTCACTTTCCTCCTTGATTGTGGTCTGCTCAGTTCCAGCTGCAAAGAGCACAGAAAGACACTGTGTGAACTGTACACAAAATTTAAACTTGACCAGCACATAGAAATAGGATGGCCACAATGTTGTGGGTTTTGCATTACAATCCTGTAAAACTACAGTACTGTAATATAAAGAAGCAAAGACTGTACCATTTGTTGATAGGATAACGGCTGTAGTCCCTGTTTCTTCTTCTTCTTCTCCATCATGGAAGGGGAGATAGTTGTTGTGGGAGCCCGGGAGGAATAATCATACCCAGTGTCACTCACATCAGCCTCCGCATCATCTGGCTTCTTCCTCATGTCTCCCACTATGTAGCGCCTGATGGCTAGGATGTTCAAACTGACAGAACACAAAATGAAAACTCATCTTTCTAAATCAAAGAAGTATCCAAAAACCAAAATATTTGCAGATTAAAACAAAACACATTTGTTTCAATGACCACTAGTCTTCCGGCTACAGTTTTTTAAGGAGCACTTGATCGTGAAGATACAGTACTAAACCGGCAAATGGAACTACATTGTACACCCTGATAAGTGCTACGTCATGCGCTACACCCATAAATGCAAAACTAAAGTATTTGACTACAAACTAGGGAGCCATACACTAGCTGAGGCTAATAATCACAAGTATCTAGGGGTTATCCTAAACAACAAACTTTCTTGGACTGAACACATCCATCATATTACTTCCAAAGCAAATAAATCATTAGGTTTTGTTAAACGCAATCTCTATAGCTGTCCTAAATCAGTTAAGATGAATGCATACACTAGTTTAGTCAGACCCCATCTTGAATACGCTAGCGCTGCATGGGATCCGTACTACAAGGAACATATTCACAAGTTAGAATCGGTCCAGAAAAGAGCGGCCAGATTTGTTTCTAATACCTATGATACTTATGCCAGCACTACCAAATTGGTCACAGATTTAGGGTGGGACACATTAAAGGACAGACGCACGGCAAGTAGACTCACATTACTTCAGAAAGCAAGACACTCAAAAACAGCCCTTCCGGTCAAAACCTTGTTGACGCCTATCCCGCGCCAATCGCGACACTTCAACTCCAACTCATACAAACCTCTAACGTTTCACAAAGACTGCTACAAATATTCATACTTTCCACAAACTGTCAGAGATTGGAACATTTTGCCCCAAGAGATAACTGATACTGCGGAACCCACGAAGTTCAACGCTGCAGTACTTCAACACCTGAAGAAGCAGCAATAGCGCATCGCACAGCTCCCCTGCACGCTTTACCCCAATCTAGGGGTGTTGTGCAGAATTCGTACAAGACAAGAAAACCAAAGGAATTATCATTCAAAACTTACTATTTGTTAGCATCGATTCCTAGTTGAGTTCTTAGACGGCTCATGTTGGCTGGACCACTGAAGATTCCTCTTCTGTTTAAAACTGTTTTGACAAGCATAGGGAAAAGCAAGCCAACTCAGTCTCGGAGTCAGAAACAAATTTCCAAAATAGGTACAATTCAGCCACTTCAGAAACTACTGTATGTTGTTTACTACATTCTGGCATTCTCACTAGAAGGAAACAGAAAAGGTTGATGCATAATTCAGAGTGAGTAGCAATTCAGACCAATGCTTTTTGACAATCCTACCTTCTGCCTTCTGCAGATAGTGGAGGAACAGTTGTTCACACACGGTGACGATGTGCACAGTTATCCTTCTCTGCAGCTCCTTGTTCTGCTCTGCAGACTGAAAACATAAAAAATGTTACCTCACTACCATTGTCAGAAGCAGTGTCAGCACATCACAGTGAAATGAGTAATCTTACAAGCACCAGCTTATTGTAACAGATTCAAATGTGTGGCTGTACTGTAGTTATCCTTGGTATGCCTCAGGCTCCTCTCAGTACCCATATAACAGAAAATGACAGTCTTTCATCCTGGTAATTTTATTACCATCTCCCAAATGAGAATTGACAAGGGAAACAATTGTAGATGCATTGCTATTGGACACCACTTACCAGAAATGGATCATCTACTTGTCTTCTGATATCAGGCCAAATGGAATTCAGCTCCCCCATGATGATCCCACCCTGCAAGATGATGTAAAATGATGGTACCTATTTCAGAAACTGGAAAGGTAGGTAGATGTTGTGTAAAATCTGTTTTTCAGATTTCCATTAAAATCTTGGTAACATATGTTGATAACATATACTTGTATTTGTTTATATTCATTAGACATTAGACCATTCTAACAAATTACTACAAAACAAGACATTTTATCCATATCTGAACAATCATGATGCTTTCTATGACTGCTAACGAGCCTATCCAGACTTGGCACATACCAGGCTCTGTTGGTCCTCAGTGGAGATGTGCCTCATGTCTGTCCTCACACAGATCCTCCTTCTCACCAGCTTAGCGAGCACACCAAACGTCGCAGGTGGGGCCTTGATACTCTCCTAAAACATAAAACAAATCAATTGTTTTGTTTCTGTTTCAGACCACTAAAAAAGTTTACTTTTAATACCCGTCTTCTCAATTTAAGGTTCAGCCATGTTAATTTTGCATTATTGTGACTTTGTGAACGTCATGGCCTGATGTCTCTGTTGCTCAAAGAAAAGGTCAGGATGCCATACTTACATCAATGGGAGTCACAGGCCTCTCAATTTCCAGGTCCTCTGTCTGTGGCTCTGAAAATAGAAACAAGGCAGTTGACACTCAGTTTCTGACACAAAATTCAAACCACCTAACTACAAGATATTCCATCCAAAAGATATTCCACAAACACTTTACCTCAGCAAGTCTGATACCAGCAGTCAAACAACCCTTTACTCCCTCAAAATCTTGGCGCATCTTCCCCTACAAGTTAAAACTCCCACTTAGTTACGATGTAAGTTAAGAATGTCCTCTGCTTACCATCCTCATGGTGAAATGGAGCAAACAGAGTCAGTGGCACCTTGATGTCTGTCACCTGCTGTTCTATTTCCTCCTGTGGAAGTTAACATCACATCAGACTGTGGGACATGCAGGTCAGGGGGATACTTAACCCATTACACTCTTACCTCCAAAAGATGCAGGTACAGTGATAATATTACATATTATAAGTGATGTGACCTTGAAGCTATTCTTTATACTACATTCTAAATCAGAATTTGATGCTATAACTTATATTTATAAGCTGGTTCACAGTTTCAATGCACATGGGCAAGGTTAAAGATGCAGGCTCCTAATTTGTCTAGGCCTTTTCTAATACAATTTTCCTGACCTTTATGTCTCAGGGGCCTTCAACTTTGACATATTACCCACATTGAATCACACTTCACATGCTCATGTCAAACTGTGAACCAGATTACTACTACTATACTATCGTAGATGCAGGTGCAAAGATAGCCATGAATCATCAAAAACAGTCATGCAAGTTGTTGATTTCAGCAGCTGCAGAAAATTTCAATCATCAGGTAGGCATTTATCGCAAGACAATTGGCAGATGTATGGAAAACTACTTGATTTCAAGCATGCATGCATTTGTCACAATTTTGCTTATATGAATATTACTTATTGATAATTACATTGTGTTTTCGGTGGCTATTTCTATTTGTGGACAAGACAAAGGGTGCTATTAAACTGGCACGATTAAGCGCAGGTGTATCCAAACCATGCTCATCACTCCTTGACCAACCTTCTGAAATAGGTCACTAAACAAAAGAGGAACGGGCCTGGGTTGTTTGAGCTTGTTGGAGAAAACAAAGCAATCATTGACAACATCCAGTCATTCTCAGTATTCTAGATACATGTATAGCTTTGATGATGTTTGATTCATTACTTGCCAATGCTTCCCCAAAGCAGGTATTAAGATGATATGGGATTAAAAGCATATTTCTGTATCTGATAGCTATCTACATGTAGGGTGTTTGGCATCTTCTCTCTAAAAACATGGGGGGAATGAAAACCCTATAAAGCAAAAATGCCTGAGTAGAGTACATATGAACTTACTGTCTCTTAGAAGTTAAATGTGTCATGACAGTTGATTATGAACAGAAGACTTTACAAATCAATACAGACACAATGAAGGTAATGAATTCATTTACTTTTGCTGTGATTTTATTTATTTTTCAGTAGGAGATTTTGTACCTTGTTGATGGTGTCCTTGTCCATAGCATACATGCCTCTCCTCTTCCTGAGTTTGGGCTGGGGCAGGCTGGGGATCCCCAGCTTCTCCAGACTTCGGGCAGACATTGTCACGGCCTGTGGAAAACCGTGGTGCATAAAAACGTTTGATATTCAAATCTTGGTTTTAGCTGGGTAATGTTTTTACCTGTCCCAAGGGGGGCGAGGTCACAACACTGGACATTTCCATTACCTATAGGCCTTGAACTTATAAGCTTTATTTAGCTTTAATTATACAAAAGTTATGAATGGCTCATTACAATCAATAAGTCATCGTATAAATTCGTTTGTTTTGTTTGGTACCAAGTTACAGTATATTCGCCCCCCTCCCCTCAGTGCAACGTTGTAAACAAAAAATAAGCTTTAAAACTCGTGCAATATGACATCGGACGAAAACATACCTTTTGTAGGGTCTTGCAACTAATCCAGGAAGAAATCCAGGTTACCCAAGGAATGTTAGGGTGATTAGAGAGGACTTTTCATCACTTCAACCTTTCTGACAACCGGAAATGCCCAGCGTCTCCAAGAACACCGACAAACAGTAGCCGCATCTAAATGCTAAACAGACAAACATACTGAGTAATGTATCATTTTACATCGTATAAAGAATATTAACGATTCAGAAAATATCAATGATTTAATAATATACGGATGCAATTTACTCATTTGTATCAGATATTGTACTGTTGTCTTGCTAAGATAAAAACCTGATTTTCTGATAGCGTGCTATTGCTGTCATTAAGACCGCATCAATGTACTTCCGGGTCAAGGGTTACAAGCATGGCCGCCCAACAGCTGCAGAAAGAGGTTTTTCTGGCAAGGAAGGAGCTGAAAAATATCAGGTGATCTTTGCGTTGTAACGTTCGTACCGTCATCATCAAGACTGAGGTCTATTGTGTTCATACTGGGCCTGCAAAAGTAGCCTTTTAGACCGAAGGGCCGTAAGAGATCCTTTGCCTTCTTGGCATCGCACATACAAATTTTTCCCCGACTGAAGTTGGAGGCCCCGTTAGAGGAGGCTTTCTCAGAGACTTCACATACCGGCACATCGGCACTAGCACTCACAGAAGATGTCTGAATCCTCTCCGTCGCCATCCCCAGAGAGAGCCATTTATGGATTCGTGCTGTACTTGGCGTCGTTCCTAGGCCTTGGCTTGTATGTTGTGTGGGCCTACATCCCCGAGTCCTGGTTACACGCCGTGGGCCTGACCTACTGGCCACAGAAGTACTGGGCTCTGGCCGCTCCTGTCTACATCACCATCGCCATCATCTTCATCCTGGTCTTTTACGTCGGGCTGAACTTCACGGTCACAGCTCCGCTAGACTCAGTTCACACGTTAACGGACGGGTTCGCCAAACAGTGGCGACACAGGGATCTTCCAACTTCTGCCATCCCCCCACTGGAAGACATTCACGTATCGATTGTGAACAGAAGACTTTACAGACAAGAGTCACAAGAGTGAAGTTAGAGTAAACAGCACTGCGTTGTTTGTTTAGTTGTATCACAGAACTGCCTTAGGGAAACACGCCAGTTTTGAAGGTCAGTTACAAGCCACCTAATACATAAGACCAGACTAGCTGTATATAGGCTTGATCCAAATGGTGACCCTTATTCCTATTGATAAGTCTGGTAGGTTCTTTTACATACTGATCAAGCTTGAAGGTGTGGCTCTCTGCAAACACGGGACCTCTGGCTTTACTTCCTACTCAAGAAGTAGTACTGTAATCATTTTCAACTGTCAGTGAGTGGAGTGAGGAACTTTTATGTATCCATGGCATGGAACCTTTAAGCCCCAACTGTGTTAGGGACTGGTTGTTGGTAGACAATGTACATTATGACTGCCAGCATTTTATGAATGTCTACACAAATGTGAATATGGAAACCTTGAGAACCATATTCTAATGCATTCAATTTAGTTAAACACATTTCTTGAATACATGTACTACATTTGTGAATATATTAGAGACTAAGATATGGTACATGGTGTTTCTTCTTTTTACTTCATTTTGCCTAACCTCTCCTTTACTAGTAATTTCCTGAGAAAATCTGAGACCCAGGAAAGGAAATTGGCATTGCCAAAGCCAACTTACTTGAGGTACAAATGTTCCGTACAACAACTGAAGGAAGATGTTGTGGAAAGTGTGTTCCATCATAATCACTAATCAATAAACAGTGGTGGGAACTTTTAAGTCCTGACTCCTGAGTGTAAAATTTATCCCAACAGGCAACAGATAGAGACTCTGAAGCATGTAGAGAAGAAAGAAGTTTTCAAAATTCAAGAAATGGTCCGTCAGAAAACCTGTCCCCAGGAACTCCTGCATTTTGAAGATGCTGCTGTTGAAAGACCCAATATACCAGGTGATTTTTCTATATCATTTACTTTCTCTTGTTACATGTACATATACTTCTTATGAAATTGATTGAAGAAACGTGTGCTATTTTGTTTTTCTTACGAAAAGCTCTTTATATGGTTTCAAGCTTTGTTTTATTTTTTCCTCACAGAAGGTACAATTATGAGTACTCCAATTGGACATCTGGAGTCTTGCTTCAAGCACAAGGCTGGCACTCCGAGGCAGCCCACCATTTGTGACCTGTCCAAGGCCAAGCTCACCATCTCCAGAAGCATATTCAATAACCCAGAGCACTCACTGGAGGGGATTGAAAAGTTTTCACACATATGGTAAAATCAAGATCATACACATGGCTTGTGCTAAAACCTCAAACTGTATTGTGCTTGAGATATTTTCCATTAATAATAGGCTAGATATTCACTAAGTCTACAAATAGCATCCACGAAATGTGTGTAAAATACCATTCACAGGTAATGTAGAAGGAACACTGTGTTTAACATCCCATTTTTCTTTTTCCAGGATCATATTTCTTTTCCACATGAATGATGGAGAAGCAGTAAAGGCGAAGGTGAAGCCTCCGAGGCTGGATGGAGTCAAAGTAGGTGTGTTTGCAACAAGGAGTCCACACAGACCAAACCCAATTGGGCTAACATTGGCAAAACTGGACAAAGTAGAAGGTACTTTTTCTTTTTCTTTTTTTTCCCCACATCATTTTACTTTAAATCAATTTATTCAGAATTTATGTACCGAATCCTGACAGTTCACTGAAGTAAAAAATCATGTTTTTTTTTACAGGTGACACTTTACATTTGTCATGCATAGATATACTCGATGGAACGCCCATCCTTGACATCAAGCCCTACATCCCTGTATATGACGGGGTGTCAACTGACTCAACAGCTTCTTCTGCTGAGGAGAAAGCAAATTTTGGATGTGTTGGACAGAACATAGCTGAGAAAGATATCTCTGCAGAGGACACAGTCTATGTCAGAACGAACCTCAGCTTCTCAGAACCACATCAGAAAACTCCTTCTAAAGGCAATTCAACTGATGACACTTTAAAGGATGAAAGCAAGGATGTAACGTGGTACGAAGAGAACAGCAGGAGTGGAGATGTTTCAACATCAGAACAGGTCACTGTTGCCAGTTGGGTCACATCTCCGCCTGTTCAAAAACTTCACGTTAGCTTCACCCACAATGCTGAAGCAACACTTCAGAAATTCCATTCTAAAGGTAAGCAAATGCTTAAATTTTTTATCTCACATGTGCCAAGATTTTACAGGCTAATATTGGTTATGATGATCATGATGTACTAGACACTATTCTTAAAGCTGTGTGGCCTAATTATAAGGACTGTGGCACTGTAGAGGAGCACCACCCTATACCATTTGGTGTGGGAAAGACTAAAATTGATTTTGAATTGATTTTAAGTCATTGCTGTTAAACTTTGGCTAAATTGGAATATAATGAAACAGCATGAACTCAATGATGACACTTTTATTATGTTCAATATCCTGTACTGTATGTATCACTTGTCAGTGACTTCGACTGAAATGACTTTCTTGTTATCTCCTAGGACATGGCCAAGATGTCTTCACCCTTATTTCCTTCAAGGACGGTGAAGAAGTCAAGAAAGCCATCTGTGACATCCTTAGTGCGGACCCGAGGTCTCCCTACTTCAGGAACAAGTGTCAGGACCGGCTGTACTTCTTCACTGTCGACAACGTCCACGTGACATGCTGGTTTGATGGGAACCTTGCAGAGGTCATTAGAGTTCAGCCAGTGTCAATTGTTAGTTGTGCCCCTTTGGGTGGCCCTCAGTGAAGTGTACAAGGCATCTATCATGCTTTGCCAAAAAACAGGTCCTTTTGTTTACATATGGCCTATGATATATAATTGCCTTTTCTGAATTCATTGCAGTCAGATATTATATAATTGAGGAATATTTCACAGGCTAGAAGAAAAATAGAAATAAGACAAAAGATCTACAACATGCAAGCTGATGTCTTTATTTTCATGTGACAACATATTCTGTGCAAGTTGTAAGGCTTCCCTGGAGAAGAAAAATATGATACAATAGTGCCAGGAGAGCAGTAAGCAAAAGTTCTACATTTCAAGCTCCATATGCATACCCTCCTCAAAGGAATGATAAAAAAAAGGCTACCACAATATCAATTCCCCAGGGAATGCATTGTTGCAAGTTTTAAAATTGTCAGTGATCGTAATACTACATGTATAAGAAACGCATCTGGCCCAGAGGCATCACCAAACAGGAAAGTTGAAATGGTAGAATATTACAAGATACCCTAAATGCTTATTTCTGAATAAACAACTGCTATTGTCCTAAATTGACATTAAAATGCAACAAAATTAAAGAGCAAAGCAAATATCACAACTGTATTATCTGCATATAATTGTGTTTCAAGGCAGAGAATGCAATACTGACACTGTCCAATTTGTGGATGTACCCTTGTTTTGATGGTCCCTGTTGAGTTGCTGTTGTTTTTCCCCAGGGTTCAGCACTGTTACTACAATTATGCTTGTAGGTTTACATGGTAGGAAAGTAATTCTATTCTGTATAATTTTTCTTTAGTACAAAGAGGGACACACCAAGAATGCACACAATACAGCAGTTATAGCACTACTAGTTTCATCTTCAATCTGACTTAACATAAACAATTCTTACACAACTTTCTGACATACCACCCAATAACATACATAATTACGTCTTTTGTGGCTTACTTTGCATATATTAGCGTTGAAGTACGAATTTATAAAGCACCCATGAAATACGCTTGCCTGAGACGAGGCATTGTTGATAATACTTGCTTAAGCAAGGACCATCTAGTAAATACCATATCAAACTATCTACAGGGATGCAAGGAGAATTGCTCAAAATGTCTTAGTTTCCTTGTACATATAAAGTGACTTTGCTGCTCTTCGAAAGGTCTGGGTTTACCAAATGAGTTTACAAAAGAAATAAGTATTGTGCGGGTTTATTTCTCAAGTCTAAAGTTGGTTCACAGACCGATACGCATGTAGAGAAATACTCTCCTTAGATACAGTGTAAATATGGACGTGGCGCAATTATTCAGCTGACACTACCCTGAACAAATTTACCCATTACTATATGTACCGTCTGAGATGTCATTGGGAACCACAGGTTGTGACTCTGTGACCGTAGCGACCAAGGCATTTCTATGCATGTTCCCAGCCGTTAAGTTCTTTCTGAATTTCCAGTTTGTTGTAAGATACAAGGCAGCAACAAAGCAAAACAGGAACATGGTGTATAGTGAAGCCCTGGTGGCTCAAACAGGGACGCTTTTACTAATATCGCACTGTGCATTGGAACCGATGTACAACGCAGCTATTAAAGAGAGATCTATCCTGCCGCTGATAAGGATGGGTGGTCATGTTTTTTTTTCTGCAACAAGAGATAAAACTAAGTTTGAAGCTTCCTTGATTTGTGTACTTACATGTATGAGAAATCCAACTGACTACATGCAGCGTTGAGCTTCGTTTCACTTTGTAAAAAACGAATGGAATGGACACTGCTGTTGCTCTACTACTTTTTCTTCTTCTCGGGGGATTTTTCTTTCGGGTCTTCTACTTTTTTTGTCTCGGCAATATTCATTTTTGCAATCAGTTCCTTGCATTCCTCGCTGAGCTTTGTGTACTCCTGTCGAGCCTTTTCTGCATTATCCAGGGTCTCCTTGGCGCGTTCAGCCGCCACTAGAGCGTCCTTCGCCCTGTCCCGCATTGTCTTTGCTTCCTCGGTTATTTTACTAAGCTCGTCATATTTCTCCTCCATCTTCTTCTGTAACTCAGTGGGATCCACCGATTTCTGAGGAGATCCTTGCGGGTCTTTCGAGGCTTCAACAGATTCTGCCGTCTTTTCAAACTCCTCGCGGGCCTTTTTTGTCTCCTCGGCAAAGATCTGGACCTCTCTCCTCATCTTGGACGCCTCTTTCATCGCGTGTCCCGCAGCCTCGTTTGCCTTTTCTGCGTTCTGCAGCAACTCTTTAGCTGCTCTCATCGATTTGCTAATCTCGGACACAGTCCTCGTGGGGCTGCTGCCTGGTGAACCGTTCCTGATGCTCGGCGAAGCATCCCTCATGCGGCCTGAGCCGAGACTTCCCCGCCTGGGTTCACGTATTCTCCCCACCACCACATCCCCGTCCGAGTCCGTGCCTGTTGCCGACAAGGAGTCCACACTCTCCGTGCTGTTACAGACGTGGTTGTTGGTTACCCTGTCCCCGGCGGCGCTATCACTGCTCCTGCTCCTACAGTCTTCACGAACTCTGGTCTCTCTGGTCTGGACGCCAATATCACGGGTAGTCTGGACGCCTTTATCAGATTTGCTGTCGTCTGGTGTCTGTGACTCGCTCCTAAACAACCAGAACAATCAAAACGTTAGGAGTAATGCTGCTGTGTCTAATGCTGCTGCTCATAACTTCCCGTTTTAAGAGGTGCGGACAGAAAAGATAGATCTGTAAATGGTTTTTATTTAATAGGGAAAAGAAGAGGGACTTCTAGCCACTGAAAGGTGCTTTTGGAGATTGATAGAGGGGTCATTCCAAATGATTGGGTATCTTAGAAAGACTTGTTTAGATGTTACGTTTGAAAGGTGCTGGAGACAAAAGCCTTCGTGTGATGAAGTGCCACACAAACACACACACAGGTGCCCCTAAGTAATAGCTAAAGGACGTCGTGCAAAGACCCGTACTTGCAACTGCCGGGGTTACATCTCTGTCTTAGCTCATAACTTGTATTTCCTCCTCCTGCCAGCAGGGACAGTGTTGCTGAAGACGACATCCATGGAGGAAATGTACATAATGGGAATATAAATGAGAGATCAGCAGTCTAGCTTCAGACAAACATGTACGCGAACGTCTAACTGTTGATTAGTCTTAACAACAGAGATGCGTTCTGAGACGTGGGACGCCAGACCAGCTTACACAATAGCTACAACTCACCTTGTGCTAGCGGGCGAGGCAGGAGTGGAAGGTAAGGAGGCCGGGGAAGCTGACCGGCTGGTCTTACTGGTGTAGCTGTGGTCTACCAGCGGAGAGGTCTGCTGGCGGACCTGGCGTTTAATTTCAGACGGGCGGGGCGACTCTGTGGAGAGCACGGAGCACTCTCCTTCGCTTTCCGTCTCTGCAACCAAGAAAAATTGTCAGGTCTGGTACCGGTGCGTGCCGTGTGGGTTATACCGTCTTCAGGTTACTTACGCAAAGACGACTTGCATGTGGAGTTGTTACCCCAGTGGTCTAATTTAAATAAGTATGATGTCCAATTATGAGTAAATGATCATCATGTTTGACTTCGTTCGTTCGCCATACAGTGCCAGCCGGCCGCTATGTGTGTAAATGCTATAATTTCAATTTCCTAGTTGGTCTTCTTGAAGTTCTATTATACTCCTACCTTCCTTGTTCTTTCGAATCCCTTCATGCCCACAGTCAGCATGCGGAATTGAGGATCATGACTGGGCGAATTCACAAATTTGGCTTCTTCCTGAACAGGGACAAAAGAACAACATTGTTGATCTTTGCATGGAGGTAGAAGTGTAATTGTGTAGCCTTGAAAACCTTCGATTTACCTAAAAGCCTTTGACAGAAGGAAAGTAAAAGGGAAAAATGCAGGCTGTTGTAGTATGAAGTTAGTTAGAGCTGAAGGCAACCCCAGAATGGATAATTACAAACGTTTCTTTCGTGCACATGCTTAAGTCACATTATATAAATCAACTTTCCAACATTAAGATCTTCAGCTTTCACGACAGTCACAAGACAACTGACAGGCTCCCGATACGCACATGACGTGACTTCCTGTTTCCGGTGACAGGGCCAGCGGAGTCTTGGTCGCCCCCTGGGACAACTGCCGATCCCATGTCTTGTTGGAAAGTTTCCGATTTCTAGAAAGAACAGGAGAGAAAGTAGTAACATTTTTACCCTGAGTGCTTGTCTGGTGGGAGGCCGCCGTCCCCTGGGCTTTGGCCGTTCTTTGGTGACGTGTTCTAGTGGCCGGGTTGGGGTGCCATCGTCCTCGTACTGTGGACAGAACGTAATGTGTGACCTGGTCAGCTCAGATTATACAATGTGCGGTGGGATTGTTTATTCTCGTGACATAAAACTTACTGTATTTTACGTCAGTCCTATACCTGCATTTCCCCATGAGACCACACAAAAAAGTCAAAGTAGCGTTCTTGGCAGCCGTAGTTAAGTTGTGCTACCGGTATTAAACTGTAGTCTACAGTACCAGAACTGGCAGAATGACGCTTGCTATAAGTCGGTTCTCGGTTTGAAATGTGACATCCGATGTAAAGCCCCTAACAGTTCTTGTCTAGACCTTGATTGATACACGTGGTTTGTTTATATCTCAGGGGCCTTCAACTTTGACGTACAATGTATTACCCACAACGTATCATACGGCGAACGCGAAGTTCAAACCGTGAACCGACTTATTGAATGGTGTTGATACCACGTGGATTGGGTAAACAAGAGAAAGACCTGGTCGGAGAGAATGAAGTGACTATATATGTACATGTTGTCAATATGTTCCTACCTCGGAGTCAATGACAATAGGGTGCTTAGCCTTCTCTATGGCGGAGTTGATGGCCTTTATCCAGGCGTCTCTCTCTTCTTTACTGTCAGCGAAGAACAACATCTTCAACACCTGGAAAATAACGATATATGAGATGATACTAGATGATTTCCTACATCTACATACCGCATGAGAGGTCGTTCATTTTGCCATCTCAACGACATGAATGAATTTCTGGAACCCATGAAATATCTAGACACCTTCCATAGCGCAAAATTGATATTACAGTCATCCGAAATCAATACGAAACTCCGATATATCTGAATTATTCTGTAATTGTTG